CCCCAATATTTCAGCAATACCCCCACCATCCCCGCTCCCCCGGGAAATACTTCAAACTTCACCACTGACAACTCTCCCATATCCTCTCCTCCCCGGACCACGTCCTTCGAATACTGGCCCACCTCTCCTGGAGACTATGATTATACCGCTCCCCAAAATGCCAGCACCTTCACTGCCCCATACTCGTCCGCATATTTACTCCTTGAGCCTTACCCGACTCCTAGTGCCTCTTCCCGAACGACATCCTCGTCACAATGGGGCATCGAGCCCTCAAATACCGACCTGGTCAGTCCAATACACCGGCAACTTCTCTCCCGGTCGGAGTCAATACGTTCCCGATGTGGATATGATGAAGGGAGCGAGGGGTATCCCTCACAGAGCACTATGTATTCTGACGATGAGGAGGCGGAGGACGGGTCTGAGGAAGGGGATATGATCGATCAAGAGGCCAAGCCAGAAGAATCACCAGAGGTATGGTTGAGGTGGGTTGAGGTAATGGCGGATAGGGGCTCCGAACAGGAGGAGGACGCAGAGGCTCAGGAATAGCTAAAGAACCAGAAGGAGGAAGCTATTCGTAGGAAGTGATCATGAATACCTTTTTTTCACTCTCATTTCATTGATTACTTATCTAATTACCCTCTAGGATTTTTTACTTAATATTTTAGGTTATGCTGTTCCAGGTTAGAGAGCTGTCAGGGGTTTAGGGGGTTATTGTTGGGCGGCGTTTACTTTAGGTGTGTATATTTGTGGGTTGTATTCAGTTTGCTCTTGATTTAATTGCATTGAAGGCCTGTAAGTGTATTACACATATAGTTCACGCAGCCAACCCTTGACCATCATGTTGAACCTGCCAAAAAATGAAGTCAGGACATCGAGAGTCTTGGCACAAACCGTTGACTTAAGTTTCAAACATCCTCGTCGCATTCGAAGGGAAGCTGTAACGGGTATGATTTGCACGCTCAAAGGGAGGAGTACCTATGATTCGTTGGTTACGTTATCAGTTTGAAGGTCGTGCAACATTTATGCTCGAATTCACAGCTTACGGAGAAAGAGGTTGACTGAGAGTTATCACAGCACACCATTGCAAGGGTCTCAGCGGTGAGTGCTAGCGTTGGTGTGGGTCAACTAGCAGCGCGGGGAATTGCAATAGGTTGTGTTTTTTTTCTCTTTTCTTTTTGTACGTAGCACGCGAGTAGCGAGACTTATTGCCTGCACCTGGTGGCTCAGGGTGGGGGGGAAAATGAATTTCCTAATACAGTACTTGGTGCACTGTAGTATGCACATGTGGTGAACCATGCAATCTGGCCTGCCTTTGATCCCTGACTTGTAATTCGCCAGATTGTTCAATTAGGATTTCCATCTGAAGAGGAAGCCACCCTTGGTGATGAGGCCGCGAAGATCTTTGCTTGATTAGCGAGCTAGAACGGAAGCGGTTCTCTGGCGAGGAAGTGGCATCTCTCCGGAAGTGGCTATACGCTCGTCATACGACCATTAAGGTTGTGCATACGAATACTAAGTTCAAAAAAAAAAAAAAAAGAAGCGGCTATACGTATGTATATACTAGGTCAAAGACAGAAGCGAAAGTCGATTTTTTTACTGGTTTCACTGTTTTCGAGATGCTCTTTTTTTTATTTTTTTGAGTTCCTGCTTTTGTTTCATAGTAAGGGATGCTCCACAGCATCCAGCGTTGCATCTGTTCCCCCCACCGGGCTGCTGAGGCTGCCGGTCAGATTGTCAACTTGTAACAGCCTTGACGCACACCCTGACTCGCATTTCTTTGTTGGCAGGGCTCGAAACCCAAATATAATACATGCTCTCTTACAGTGCTTATTGTATAGACCTTCGTGCTTAGCCATTTTGGAATTACCAAATTGTTAACTCGCCAACTCATAACGCAAAACGGACTCGCATTTCTTAGTTGACAGGGCCTGAAGACCCAAATATAATCCATGCTCCTACAGTGCTTATTGTATAAACCTTCGTGCTTAGCCATTTTGGAATTACCAAATTGTTAACTCGCCAACTCATAACGCAAAACGGACTCGCATTTCTTAGTTGACAGCCCCTGAAGACCCAAATATAATCCATGCTCCTACAGTGCTTATTGTATAGACCTTCGTGCTTAGCCATTTTGGAATTACCAAATTGTTAACTCGCCAACTCATAACGCAAAACGGACTCGCATTTCTTAGTTGACAGGGCCTGAAGACCCAAATATAATCCATGCTCCTACAGTGCTTATTGTATAGACCTTCGTGCTTAGCATGATTTCCATTTCGGAATTACGCTAGCCTATTTCGTCAGAATTGTTTCCGACAATGGATTAAACAACTTTCACTTGTTTTGTTAGATTCGCCGCTGAAGGCGCTGACCCTAGCATGAAATGTTTGGTAATGCGCTCTTCCAGAAGTCTCTCAATACCTTTGGGGGTAAATATCCCAATACCAGCAAGAGATTGGATTTACACTATCGATATTCGCATTCAACGTCTCCCCTTCAACCGGACTGGAATAGGGCTCCTGAAGATCCAGATGTGTGCTCAGAAAAATATCATCATAATATTAGCTACCCTCCTTGAATGAATACTCGCTCTTGCCCCCGCTGACTACGACTTTCTTATGGGTGTATGCAATTGTACGAGTATTGTGCATGATTGGGAAATTTTCCCCCTCTTCGCTAGACGATAGGAGAGACGTCGTCCACGCATATTCGAGATCGATATCGGGTATTGAAAATTATACACCCAAAGTAACTTTCCGCGCAATTCAGATCCGCGTTATAAAAAGAACTGGCCGGAACTGATGCACGTCAGCCACAACACGAGATCTCCCTGTTAGCTGAGGCATACTAGTTGCGCGTATTGCTATTCTGCTGCGTTTTTGCGTTTGCCTTATTATGCAGTGTTTATTCACACATAGCTCGCGCAGGGTGGACAGACTAACTTGACTGTCCCTTGAATCCACCCGGAATTCCGGAGTGTCTCGTCATGCGACCCTTGAGGTTGCGCACACGAGTACTGAGTTCAAAAAAAAAAAAAAAAAAAGAATGCAAGATGCTTTCGCGGGATTCTTAAGTCTTGGCACTTTCATTTCTGTAATTGGCTTACCTACTGGTTAGGGTAGTTGGTACCCGATTTAGTCTAGCTAGTGTCAGAAAAGGAAAGGCACCACACGCCGTCAAGGCAGATCAGACAAATGAAATGAGGACTACTTGTTGTCCACAAAGCCCCCATAGACAATATGTTTATTCCTAGAAAGCCCAAATTACTTACAGAGATACCGTATCCTCCCTTGGTCAGACATATACACAATGAGGGGATAACACTACTTAGGCGTGAGCCTTAAGAGGTAGATGGGATAAGAGTTAAACAACTTTTTGGTTCCATTTATGTTTACAGATCTTTTTCCGACACCACAAGAGTCCAGCACCAAGAAAGAGGCGGAATCCTTCCTTCCGAATCAGCGCCCTTCGAGTTAACTGGTAATACATCTCATGTATTCTTTTCCTTTACCGTCTTCTTCACAAGCTCTACCCTCATCTCCCCCCCCCCAGTACAACTGTACCACACGAGCATCATTGGTTTTTACCCAAGTATATCTCTAAAACCCTCTTGTTGCAGATAACATTCCATGGGTTGTTGTGGTGGTAGAATTATAGGTAATATTCAAGCTTGGACCTGTCATGATATTCGACGGGAGAATTTAAACCCAGATGCGCATACGCGTTGAAAAGCAGAGGCAGTGATGTAAAAGAGAATATTGAAATAGTAGCGAAAGTGTAGAGGAGGTTAGAGACCGGGGTAACTCGAAGTTATTCCAACATTATCCAAATATCCTAGGTAAAACTTACTCCAGACAACTAGTGCTCCCAGTTACCTATACTCCGGTTTCTCTCTATACTGGGCCTGGAATTGAAGATTCTGCCGAGTCTAATTTGTAATCCTCTACTCACAGTGAACTACTTTGAGCCAGAACTCAATCCGCAAAGTCGGGGCCTACACTTGAGCTTTATTCTTGATCTCGGGGAAGAAAATCACAAGGAGAGTACAGATAGGAGCTGACATCTTGAATTCCGGGAGGGGCGGGAAGGGTCGCCGAACATGCAAATAACATACAGGCAGCGATATACTGCAGACCGGAATTTAGCAGGGTCAAAAATATCATTATGGTGAAGAGAAGATTGCACGTATGTTTTGATACTTCTTCTATCCTCGTCAGGCAGTATATATTGGTGGTGATGCAAAATCAGTTAGAGACCTGGGCTTTCTTAGGTCCAAGGGCCTACATAAAGGAAAGCTTAAGAAATGAAGATACAGAGATGATAGAGTAATTTCCTTCTACTGACATGTAGTGAGTATCATGAGTACAATATACCCACATTATACTGGAATCCCTACAAATAGTGCGATTATCGACCTGTCAGGAAACACTAAAATTTAGTTACCCTTAACAGGCAACCCGGGACAGATATAGACACCATGATTATCTCCTTTTTTGGAGGGGGCGACTTTATCATGGCATACATGAGCCCAAATTCTGTGTTTGAATGGGAATATGTGCTTTGTGTAGCTACTGTTTACTATGATAGGAAAGGGGTAGGTATGTGGAGGAATCCTACTAAGAGAAGGAAATGATAGAGTTCATGTAAATATGAAGATGTAGCATGGTTTCTACAGCTATGGCTTGGATTCAATATTATACTTGGACCTTGATGTTCTTATTACCATTACTCTCTAGTCAACTCCTCAATAGAAACGTCTCAAGTTCCCCGTAATTGATCTCCTTCCCGTCTCTCGCTAAAGGGAACAATTGACATTGAGGAAGATAATGTATGCTTTTAAAGGCGGGGGCGGGTTGAAGTGAGCGTTGGTAATTCAACATCTGAAATGTTCAAATGCAAGTCTAGTTTATGTACACCTACTTTTTCTGTGCATGCCTCATGTACCGCACGTAATAAGTAAAGGAGCAAAAAGTTTACCTCATAAATTTTATGAAAATAAAAGCCCAATGCGAGGCTCGAACTCGCGACCTTGAGATATCTTTGGGTGTCTAAACACCTTAAGAGTCACACGCTCTACCGACTGAGCCAACCGGGCATCTAGGATGGTATAGAAATTCAATGTAATCTCCATAGATACGATCTGGGTTATGCAGGAATTCGGGTTATAACAGAATGGCCCAGTACACGCCAAATCGACCAGGCCATTCCGGAATCTGCAACTGGTATTTGTAAAGCTTAAAACATGCGTTGAGTGCTATGTTTCGCAGCCGAAGTGGTCGAGTACCGTGAGTGGCTGAGTGCGATAAGTTTGACCACGTTCTGCAACCTCATGAATCTAGGGTATACTACTGTAGAGGGACTTCCTATCAGGTACGGGTGCGTGATTGGGGACCAGCATATTCTACTTAATAGTTTCCTTGGCTCCACTAGCAGCCTAACCTGCGAGCTCACCTTGGGTGCAAACGAACTTCGGAACCCACACACCAAACTCCCACCAACTCAACATCACGACATAACAGCGATTATATTCTAGACACTGATTTCGGCTTCTCGCAGCTTCTATTCTCCGGCTGTTTAAAGTAAACTTGTAGGTACCCCACCCCGGTTCGTGAGCTTCGTCAGGAGTACACAGTTGGGGCACAAATATGGACTCAGAAGCAGAGAGAACGCGACAAGAGAAAAAGAAAAGGTACAAAAGGCGAGTACTGTACTAACGAAAGTCTGTTCCCAGAGGCTTCAGTAATGACGGCAATTAGGAATAATTCTGCTCCCTCCACGGTCACCACCGACAAGCCCGGTTCAACACTCAGGTATCAATCTGCACCTACTGTACTTGGGCTCCCAGAAGGCAGTAGCATCAGGGATGAGAATGGCAAGGAAACCGTTACCGGCAATATTGTCGTTGGCCATTACTTCAACAACCCACTTGTCACTGGATATGTTCGGAAGAAGCATGCACCTCGCAGACTGTTGGAAGGCTATGAAAAGTTGATAAACAGACAAAACTACAGGAGGAGCAAGGCTATGAGACGGCTCAAAGAGGAAGGGACCTGGACAGTCGGGCCAGTCAGTGATGACGGTTTGCAAGACCTGAGGAGTGAGGCCTCAGCATTTACCCGTCCATTATCAGCCGCCATCAATATCACAGAGGCTTCTCAACCATTGAGACAAGCCTCCCTTGGCCCAGCCAGCCAACCGGCGATTTCTGGAATCGAGCTGACTTCTTCTGTCAACCCCACAAACATCATTTCACCCGTGATTTCAGTCGGTGAAGTCGATATCAGTGATAGTAAATACTGCGGTATCATTGGCTACAATTTCGGGCAGACCGTGCAAGAAGTGCAAAAAATGTTTCCCCCGAGGATACAACAATTGATTGAGGAAATCGTGGAAGGGCACACGGACGCGAGGTATGCCAACAGGAAGTATTGGTATATTTACTTCAAAAGTGAAATTGCATTACAGCATGTGTTGGTGAATGCTCCACGGAGTTGGATGGCCAGAGACGGAAGAAAGGAGAACGATCCAAAGATCACCGTCATGAAGGATTGCCATTCTCCTCCGGGATCCGATTCTGACTTGAGTGGGGAAGACTCTGTTCTTACCGGGCGGATGGGACAGACGTCACGAGCTAAGCAGTTAATGTGCCAGCGTTCCATTTCAATGCAGAAAGAATCAGATCGCTCCACCCAGTCTCCATCAATCGTCCCATCTGCAAACATCGCGAGTTTCGAACAACCAGCCTCTAACCCTGGGGCCCAGCTAGCTCTCTTGAGCCATGTTAACCCCATTCTCAACAACCAGGAGGCCCAGGTATCTGATGCGATTTCTTCCTCATTCGTCCGATCTTCAGCAAAATCACTTGAGCAGCTTTTGTCTTCCTACTATAATGACAGCCCACACGAGAACAAGCCTATGCCACCAGCCTCGTGCATGACCGCAGCTCAGCCAGTATCAAGCCCACAAACTCCGGCTCGACCTTCTCTAGTTCCAACTATTTCCTCCGCTCCGCAACTTAGAATAATGCGCACTGCAGCGGCAGAAGCCACTTCAATCTTCTCCGACGACAACCCTATTGTCAATTCAACACCTCCAATGAATATATGGGGTTCTAGGGCTCAGGATCGTCCTGGACGGGGTGAATCACATGCACACACTACGTCAAGTACACCGATTGCGGCAATAATCCCGATTGCGTCAAGTACACCTACGAAAAATGCCCAATTTCAAGCTGCTCCTCCTCGACCTGATTCAATTCCTATAAATGCTCCTCCTGGCTCTTTGTCGCGTTTGGGTGAAGTCATGGCAAGAGCATGGCCTCAACCTAATTTTAATATCGCAAAGGAGAGGCCTGAGGCCCCGAAGTCTGTTTCACAGGCTAAAGAAAAGGAGGCAAGTCAATCACGTGAAAGAACTCGACCAGGTACTCCTATCGCCGTCTTTACAACTGGAAAGTCAAATGCGCTCGTTACCGGCCCTCGAGCTGCTAGAACAGTCACCCCGATCGACTCTACTGTGGTGAAGGTAGTCAATCCCGAGCTGCTTATTCTCGAGCCAATCACTCCCGAGCCAGTCCGCCCGATGACAAATACTCCTACGCTCCCCCAATCAGTCATCGCCATCACCAAAGCTACGCCTGAATCAAAAATTCCAACCATTCCGACAACCATCCCCGAAGTTCCCGTTATCGCTCCCGTTATCGTTCGCATCGCCGCTGATCCACCAGATTTGGTGAATTTGGATGAAGATTCTCTCCCAATCTCAACCCATGGGGAAGGCACATTTGAGCTGCCACCACCGGCTGGTAGTCTTAGTGGAAGCGTATCTACGATTGGAGATTGGAGAACGGATTTGGCGGGTTTGGAGTGGGTTGTGGAGGAAGTAGAGAAGAGGGGGATAAGCGGCGATGAGAAAAATAGGATCCAGGACAGCGAAGTTGAAGCAGTAGCAAGGATCATGGAGGGCTGTAGAATGGGAGCGGGAGGAAAAAGGAACGTGGATAGTGAGGTGGAATCAACGGTGAGAGGATCCGCGTTTCAGAGTAACAGGCCAGATACAGTGGAGGATTGGTGGACGACGGCAGGCGTTGCCAACCCACTTCCTACCGACGAAGTGAAAAGGGAAATCAACGACGGCACCCGAGAAACTATGAACCTGCTCTTGGTAGACGGTGTCGTCATTAACCAGGAATCGGATACCGAAAATATCGATTTGTCCATGATGCCAATCTACGGACATGAGACCGCAGGCATCCCTGGCGCCGCCCTGAAGACTGAAGTCGCTGAAACTCCCGTCCCCGCAAATCCGGACAACGATGAAGAATGGGAGGATGAAGACAAAGCAAAGGAAGCTGTTAAAGAGAGAATCAGAGGCCATCGTGGACAAAACCGCTCATCAAAGCGGAAGGATTTAGGGAAGGATCTAGTGAGTGCTCATTTGGCGTTTTTGAGGAGGGCGGGAATGGAGACGGGGTTGAGGGAGATTCTGGGGGAGCTCAGAAAATCGGAAAAGAAGTAGGTGGAGAAATTGCGTAGGAGGTGAGTGAGGGGGGGGGAAGGTCAGGAGAAGTTGATATGTTACGGTAGATATATTTTGACCAAGGATACGGGTTCTTAGAATGAATTGCTGACTTGGGTGGGTAATTGCAGAGTTGTCTTCTTTGCTAGATGAAGCTGAGATTCCGGAAGTTGTTTGCTGCTGTTGGTTTATGGGGTGGTATTCAATCCTTGAGGTCTATTGTCAGGTGGCGATGCGGTTAGTTGGGTGGGAGCGAACTGTGGAGGATGAATAAGTATGCTTCGCATGTTCTATGAAATTGCTGGATGAATGGCGTGGGTGTTGTATTTTTTTCTGCCTTCCAATTCTGCTCTCCCATGGCTGGTTTCGGTTGTACATTGTTTATGTGACTAGAAGTGCTGGAATAGGGATAGATAAGTGTGGGGGGGGATGTGCATCGATGAAAGGGAATTACACAAAATATGAATACTAGGAATACATGGAATGTCACAATTGCCTCGTTATTGTTCATCATTCATGTGGGTCGGGTGGGTAGTTTTGAATAGTGCTTAGTGAGCGGGTATTTAGGGAAGAGTTTTTACACGCGTTATGATGAGAGATAATAGATAGCAGCTGTAGGAGGCGTTGCTAATTAGGAAGTATCCCTTGCTACAGGAAAAGTCTACCAGATTAGTATCCAGTAAGTAATTAATAGATAATTGTTCTTTCAGGGTAAGCGCCAATAGTAATATCGGCATCCTATCAAACATGCCGAAAAACGCCAAAAGTCAACGAACAAGCGCGAGGAGAAACGGTAAAAGCAAGCCCGGTTGATGTAAATTGTGTCTTTTGATTGCCTTTTGTACAGCGATCGCCTTCGGGGCCTGCCGGAGCTGAAGTGGGCGAAAAGTTGTTGATAGGCGGGGGGCGCAGGGGCGGCGTGGAAGGATAGATATGTTCTGGTCCGTTGCGGAATTCGGTCTATTCCGGAATGGACCGGTCTATACCGGAATGGACTGGATTCCACAACGGACCAGTCCATTACGGAATGGAAACCTTTACTTAGTGAAAATTTTCTTCGCAACATTTTTAATGCAACATACTCCTCAACGCAACATACTCCTCAACGCAACATACTCCTTAACGCAACATACTCCTTAACGCAACATACTCCTTAACGCAACATACTCCTTAACGCAACATACTCTGCACACCGCAACATTACCAGCATACTGCGATATTTCCGCTCTTACTACAATGTCAGTGGTAGAACATAATAGTGATATTGATCTGGATCAATTCACCCCCTAGGTTCCGCTCCATCTCGCAGTGCAATTGAAGCATTTATCATAGTAATGATGAGCAAGAGAGTGATAAGGAAGATAATCAAGATAAACCTCAATCTACTCTAATTCAACTTCCTAGTACCAATATTATACTAGCAAAAGTTCGCAAACGTACTTACAATAGCTTGCAAGCAAATGGCAAATCGATATCTTCAATAGTACAAAATAGATACCTTTACAATGAGTGATCTTGTTAGCTTACATATTCCTAATATTGATCGAGCTTCAACCGACCATCGCCAAATTTTTGATA